TCGCTGTATAAATAGTCTTGCACTTATTTCCTTGAAGATAAGAGCAGGTGTTAAGGAGTTTAGTTTTCTTCGTATTTCCTTAAAGATAATCAAATGTCATAGAGTCTAGTTTTGCACTAATTTCCTATAGATAGAATAAAATGTCAAAGAGTCTGAACTGTTTCTTGTATATGTCTTACAGATAAATTAAGGAGTAAAGTGCAGAATGCAATTCTTACTTCTTTTATCAAATAGAATTAAATAACTTGGTCAATTATCACGGAGAAAGTAAGCTCATGAGCCAGGTGTACTCACCTATACCCTGTTCAAAATCGCTTAATATACCAAGGAAACTGATAAATGTAATAAAATTCAGAAAAATTTTGAAACCATGGACACATACTTTAGATAAAAAGTTTACAGAAGTCACGCTTTGTATGCCCTAAAGTTCAAAGTTTTACGTGCAGTCCTTTTATGTATTTTCAAGATGGACTTGTATCTCTTTCATAAATAATAATGAGGACTTTTGATCATTTATTTTAAAAAGTCCTAAATGTAGGGGACCCCGATCCTTCACCTGGTTTCATAAATATTATTGATTCTGTTGAATATTACTCCAGACGATGGGCCAGATATGAAAATGAAGACGTTGACACCTTGTCAGAATGGATTAAATATATTAGATCCATGTTAAAGTCGCTTATTAAAAGACTGAGGGGCAGTATGAAAACCATCTATCCTTTTGTGTTCAATAATCCAGAAGTGAAAAAAGAATTAGATTACATGATCAGTACGTACTGGTCTCTGCCGACAAAGCAGGAAACAACAATGTCTTCGTTTGTAAGGCTCATTATATAAATTGTAATTTAGAAGAACCTGGATTTAATTCTATAAGTGGTAATCCTACTTATACTCATACTTCCCTTTCTAAGGAAGACATTCTTCAAAATCAAACGTTAGTTTTAAATATTTATGATATTCCACAGAGCGAAAAGGAATTTGATTTGTCCTATATAAATATATTTGATTCCGAAACTTCATAAAGATCTTTACAAACAAAGATACATTGCGGGTTCTGGTAAATGTTCAACCAAGCCGCTTCCGTTACTCCTCACTAAGATATTGACTGTAGTTAAGGAAAAACTACAGGGGTACTGTGTAACAATATATTCAAGAAGTGGTGTGAATCAGACGTGGATACTCAATAATTCCAAAGAACTTTTGGACAATTTGAAATCGCAAGATTTTACCAAAATCAACAGCTTAAAAACTTACGACTTTTCAACATTATACACAGCTATCCCCCACATAAGATTAAAGTCCAGGCTTTTCGATATCACTGACAGCTGCTTTTTATGAAACTCATAGATATACTTACCTGGTCATTGGTCATTTGCAAAATTATTATGTTAAAACACATTCCGATTGCACACACAAGTAATCTGAAGTTGACATCAAAGAGATCCTTGAGTTTCTGATTGACAATATTCATGTATTTTTAAAATCATATAAAGCAGAATTTGTGCAAAATTTTATGCTTGAAAAGAAGAAAACACTTGCTGTGGCCATCAACTTGACATTTAGATATATCGCCTACGTATTGTCAGTTAACAATGGTAATTTCCATTCCTACGTCGATATGATATATCCTGGTGAGCTCGAGATAAACGATACCATAGAGTCTGACACATCTATTTCATCCTTGGATATTTTACTTGAAAAAGACGTTAATGGTTATCTGACAACCAAGCTATATGATAAACTTGATGACTTGAACTTGTCTATCGTCAACTTCCCTTACTTATGCAGCAATATACCTTCTTCACCTGCATAGGGAGTGTATATATCTTAGTCGATTCGATACGCAAGAGATTGCTCTACGTATGAAAAATTTGTAAAATGAGGAAAATTATTGACAAGCAGGTTGATGAAACAAGAATATCAGCCGTCTAGTTTAAAGTCGTCATTTTGTAAGTTCTATTGTCGATACAATGACCTTGTCAGCAAATACAATTTACCATTGGGTTAAATGCTGACTGACGTTTTTCATACTAATTGTTTGGCCATTAATTATACACTGAATCGACGACGGATTTTTCCGTAAGGTTATTTCCTGATCATGACAAGGAGCACGCGGCGGGTGTGACCGGTCAGTAGGGGGTGCTTACATATCTATGGTATCTGATCCAACCTCTGATGTTTCGGAGGTCCGTGTTTGCTCTGCTCTTATTATTTTTTTTTTTTTATGTTCTTTGACATTGAACACTGTTCGTTTTCTCCATATCCTTCTGTGTATTGTAGTTCCAACTGATTTAAATATGAGAGCAAAAAATATATAGTTTACGTCTGTGTATCACAAATACGTTACCTCTTAATAGACATTTCTAGATTTCGCGATCTCGAGATTGTACTCGCGCACTGCCTCTGACAGTTGTTTCAAACTTTTTAGGGGCTGTGTCAAAATTTGATTTATTTACAAACAAACAAAAACACTGTTTCCTAGATAAAGCAACTTAATACGTAGCATAATCCATTGAAAGTCATACATGGCGTATTTTTCATAAGTTTAGACTGAAAAAAAAAATAAAATGATCTTTCTATTTGTTTTGTTACCCTATATAAAGAAAGGACTTTCCTGTAAATAACACAATTTAAATCAATCGCGTTACATAGAAATCCGAGATTTAAAACAATAACCGATTTATTTCCAACTTGGGTGAAAACATCAAACACAGTTTAAACATGTTAAAGTCATGTATAGAAATATGGAGAAGATATTTAGGTTCAAAATCGGTGATAAATTTATTTTGAATTTAGATAGCAAATATTATCTTAATCTTTGTTAAATCTCGTATTTTAATTTTTTTTATTTCAGATATGCCATATTAGAATATAGCTTTATAACCCTTTTTAAAAAACTTTATACGGCCCCTTATATATCGAAGTACAAAGTACGAGTCCGAGCTTGTGGCGCTCTTACCTGGAAATGTCTATTTATTGCTTTTGAATTATGATTCACAGTTATATTTAAATGTAACATCAAGCGGATTGATACGTTTTGATACCATCCCTCATTGATCACACCATTCGATTGAAAAATTCGAAATTCATCGCTTTCATCATGTTCATTGATAGAAGGCTAGGATATGGAGCATATTTGGAGAGAAAAAAACACTTTTTCAAAGGATACTCAAAGTCTGTTGATTTGAACATATTTTATTGTTAAAATGGTAAAAGAAAAGAACACAAGTTCGTAAAACGTAGAACGTCCTCTCTGTTATCATGGTTATTTTGTAAGTTTACGTAACTGTTAATAATATTCAGGTTTTATCTATTTCATAACCTTTATGTCGAAAAGTTGAGCAAAATAGAGCATTTTCAGTAAAATATAGATAAGCATTTGTCCTTCACTTAATACTCTTCTGTATGGGTTACCCATTGTTTAGACCGTTTGTCAAATTTAATAATTTGTCATTTATCAACTAACAATTATTTTTCATTACCAAAGGCTATTCTTTATATACACTAGTATGTATGACATAAGTATTACATCTTCACATTATTAACCTGAAAATTTATTTGAAAATTTTAATAAAGACTTATTTTGTCTTCAATAAAGTAAATGTGTATCTATTTTTAATAACAAAAACATTTCATGATGGATATTAAAAATGGATATGGAATATTATATAAACATTGAATTGTAATTTGAAAAACATTACACAGAGAACAACACATAATACCCTGTTCCATATCACATCCTGTATCAGACCGAGACACAAATATCAGCCAGAGAGCCGAAGGCCTGAATGCTGATATTTGTAGCGGGCAGATACAGGATGTAATGTGGAAAATGGTATGTATCATAATGTTTGTTATATACTTTGTACGAAAATAATGTACATATTCAGATGAGAAGAAAATAAATAAATTATCATGCATGGACTTCTTACAGGGTCTTTTGTCTTATATGTATACGGTTTTGGTTTGTTTGTACATCTATTTCAAATGTGTTCGATCCGTTATTTGAAAATAATCTTTTATTTTTTTATATTTTTTATTAATATTATCCTTACATTCAAAAACTCAAAATCAAAAAATGTCAGGCATAGCACATATGCAAAATCCTGTATTCATTACTAAGTATGTAATGAACATGTAAACAGCCCCTGTTATAACTGACATTAATGAAGTAAAACTATTATATATACTACTACTACTTGGAATTCGTTAAATTGACATATGTCGTCATGTAAGCCATCTTAACAAATTTAACAGGTACAGTTAATCATGATCTACAAAAGCATTCTTAAACTGATCTTCTGTCAGGGTTAATTTAGACATCATAACTTCGAGTCAACAGAAATATTAAAGATTTAAACACAATGAACAGATGACTGCCATTACGTATAAATTGAATGTAAATGAACAACGTGATACATATAACATGAAATCGTAACAAAGCTTATATATATCAACACATACAGCATTCTTGCAAAAACACTTTATACATGTATAACATTGTAGTTATATTGAGTAAACCTCCTAAATTAGACATAAAATGGCAAAAAAAAAAATCACATATCACAAGAGTAAAAAGCTTAATTTTTCTTCCAAAAATACATACATGTACCGGTACTTTTCTATAAGCTTAAATTAAGCAAGAGTTATGTACAGTTGACTGCCTTATTAAATGTCTAAATGATTGTATCTTTTTTTATTTTTCAACCGATGTTAAATTTTATACTGATCATTCTAAGATAGGAAGCATGATGTTTTTGTAAAATATAAATTTTTGAAGCCTCCTTTTACTTTACATCATATTATTCAATTTATAAAGGTTCCCCTACCTATTTCTGGTATATCACCATTTAGACATCCAATATTGCTACCAAAGGTGAAATACCTATTGCTAGATTCAGGCCTTTCAATACCTATCTATAAAGAGCTTTGAATTTTAAAGTATCACAGATACAGCTTTTTATAAGATAAAATCAATAATAATATCTAAAAAAATAATATTACCGAGAAAAAAATCTACTCGTTAAATATTGTATTGCAGCATTATTTCTGATATCATGTGTTAGTTTAGGAATATCTGGAATAAAAATGATCGCACACAGAAAAGTTAATATCCCGACCCCTAAAATAACTCCTACTCCTGTTGCTGATGGACGCTCGTCAGAAGCACTTGTTCGTTTCCTAATAGAACTTGACAGAGTCCGGGCGTTGACCACTAGTTCTTTTTTTAGCTCTTCAATTTTGTTGTTGAGTTCCTCTGTCGTCAGGTTCTGGACTGGATGAACCCGATCACACGGACACTTGCATCCTACAACGTACGTGCATCTTTCATCATACTTACATGTAATCCATTCCCTTTTTCTTTTAAATTTATCTAACACTTACATAAGGTTCGCAGTAATCATTCTTTAAAATCAGAAATCCGTTCATGTTTAACAATGTTTAAGCTATCATTTATTAATATAATAAACTTTTTTTCATGTTTCGTCGGTATTCTTTTTTCCATCTGAGCAGACCTCTATATCATTTCGTCGAAAGATATTTGAAATATTTCAAAAAATCACACAATTATTTAAAAAAAAACATTAATAGAGTAAGAAAATTTAAGGCTAATTATCTGTTACTCGTGTAATAATTAAGTTTTATTATATGATTGAATAATTTCCATCTCTCTGATTGGCTGAGATCTAACTATGTTAGAAAAATACTATGTTCTATTGACCTGCACTTGACGTTCCAGGTCAATACAAGGATTTATTTCCTCTACATTGATCTAAAAATAGATTGGGAATTTCCAAATTGATAAAATTGCTTTTGAGAGCTATTTAAACGACTGTAATTTTTTTCCAGTAAAAAAAACATAAGCAAATTTTTATTTTAGGGTGAGGGTGGTAAGAGGAGATGCAGGGACCCCCTCCAACACTTTTACTGAACAACATGTTCTTTTACTTTTTGGCAGTCAGTTTTCCCGATAATACGCACTCCTTCCTTTCAAAGTCTTTCCTATAAAAATGATATTATTTGTTTCATGGTAACTAAAATTGATAAAAAAAGACCATTTCAAATTGATATGACTGGTAAGGTTTATTCACATTTTAATTCTGTTTCTCTCTTGTATTTGACTAGGACTTAATTAAATGCAAGGTAACAAGTAATGAGCTGTATCATTTTATCAGTGAATCATATAATAAAACAATTATTGCTGTTTTTTTTCTTTTTTGGTCAATACAATGATTTAGCCATCTTCGAAGTAAAATATTCACCTCGCCCTTCGGGCTCGGTGAATAATGTACTCCTCAGATGGCTAAATCATTTTATTGACCTCAAATAACAGTAATAATTGTATATAGGGATGTCAAAATTGTCAATAATTGATATTCGAATATTCGATAGGAGTATTCGAATATATTCGAATATTCGATAAAATAAGTACATCTTGCATTATTAAATATATATCTTCACTCCCCTGTAAAGCAGTATAGGTTTTATACCATTATTTTGGAATAAAAACTCATGTAGAGTTCGGAAAATGCACTACAAATATATATATTTTTAAAAGAATTTATTTATTGAATAGTATACATCCAAAATATAATGACTGTTTTTAGAAAATTCAAAAGATTCTTTAATATTTTCCAGATTTATTGAATGTCAATCTAAAGTCTACACTAAATAACTCCTACAAATTTATACCAAGCAGAACAATTATCTAACACAGAAATATTAAAAGCAATTACTTTTCGCTAATTATAATTTCCTGATAATGATTTTTGATGATATTTACATAAACAAGAAGTCTGTGTGTTTACTGTTAAACTTGGCCCTAACAACAATACAAACTGATTGTTAGTACTGGACACTATTAAAGCACTAATTAAGTGAACAAATAAATAAATTACTCTAATAGATATACTTTTTACGCCTTTAAGGTATTCCAAGAGGACTTTTTTTTTATTTTGGACAAACTTGATTCCATTTCTAATAAAACTTGCCAGGTTTTTCTCTCCTTTTAATGCATATATGCTTAAAAACGAATATTCGAATCATAAATTTATATTCGAATATCAACTCATCGAATGAATATTCGAATATTCGAATATTCGTTGACATCCCTAATTGTATAATATCAATATGATTTTCTTTATTTAGTACTAAGTTCATGTGTTTTAACCCATTGCCGTTATTTCTATGAAGGGTATCTTCTCATCTTTGACTTACTGTTACACTGTGGTAGTGGAGCGCTCCAGACCCCGCTACCCTGACAGGTCCTGTTGAGGTCTCCCCCTCCGTGCCGGTACCCCGTGTTACAGGAGAGGGACATATTGTCTGAGATGTTATAACCGTCTAGGTGATTGATGACGTAAACACTGCTATTTATAGACTCTTTTGGACAGGCAGGTGCTAAAATGGTTTTCGTGAAATAAGTTTTCATGATTGTTATGACAACACGTGTAATGAATTCCACCAAAGTACTGCATTTTAGATATGATAAAAATATGCAATGATGTGGTCTCTTACATGCATGTGGCGTAAACAAAATAAGTAATTGTATTTATTATGTATTTGGTAGACCCATGTGCTTGTCTTTTCAATTGAATTAGTTAAAACATATACTCTTTTAAAATGTTCCTTTAGTGACCTGAAATTTTGATAGATTTTTTAAGAAGATGGGACTCTTCAGAGAATAATCAATCCAGATAAAGTCATATAGCGACTGATGAGTTCTGTACATGCAATAAAATATAAAATTTACATTATTATTCCACAATTGGAAAGATTGTCTTACTTTGTACAGCTCCGGATGCCTGCGTTAAGTTAAAAAAACTGTACTTTAATTTTGTGGATTGTATTTACCAGTACAAACAGGTAGATTTGACCAGGCTCCTGACAGCAAGCATGTGTTGTTATATCCTCCTGATGATAAGATGAATCCAGGTAAGCATTCAATGTCAATGCACGTCCCAAATGGAAGTGTTGTTGACGTTATATCCGTGGTTATTATTCTGGCATTGGTAACATTAACGACATCACATACTATCCCTGCAATAATAATACATCAGACATAAACAAAAGACTAACAAAATTAAAAGTTTTTATCAATTACTTGAATGAATTGTATCACTTAATCATTGAAATATTTAATAATCTAATATACAAAATCCTCATCCCCAATGCATACATACAATGTGTAAGCCTATGATCATTTACGGTGATTATTTTTTTTTACCAGAAATGTTATATTTAAATATTTTGTGGTTAACAGAAACTTTGTGTAATGTACATTTGTATTTGTCTATTTGGAAATAGCTTAAAATAAACTACTTGATTTAAAATTTCATTGAGACTTTCTACCAGAGTCAACCAAAAGGATGGAATAAAACTTGTAAATAATTTTTCTCGAAAATATAAGTGTCTGAAAAAAAAAAAATTAATTTTACGCTGAGTTGTGGTCACACTAGACGTACTTGTACACTTGAGTGGTTCATTATTCCATGTGTTATTTTCTCCGCAGATTAATGAAGACACCCCTGAGTCCTCTTTGTAACCATAATCACACTGAAACTCAAGGGTTTCGTTAAAGTAATATGTTTTGTTTATCAGTGCATGAGAATGAACTCCTTCCGGTATAGAACAGATAATGACTGAAAGACCAAGAAAAATGTTAATAAATATAAATTTTATGATACATATACTGTTACATTAACCAGAAGTTACTTTTTACTGCACAGTAATATTTTACTAATATATACAATGACGCAAAAGATCGCACAAGCTTCAATTAAAAATTCTGTATGTTTATAAGATTTTGTTTAATGACTTTCTAATGACAGCCTCATTTTTTCTGCTAAAAAATCTTACTTTCGCAGCCTCCTTGCCACTGAAGATGCTCGAGACATTCGAGATAAGGGGTCATTTTATTCCCCCCGATACAGTTGTAATCACGACGGGTGAAAATATAAGTAGAACCGGGTTCTACGGTGGCGTTTGGCAGATGTGCTTCCTCACAGTAAGGTGGAAACTAAAAACAAATTATGGAGGTTTATTGTAAAATATAGTAAATGTTCATAGATGAAATTCATACATGAGCTCGAAAATCTTAGGAATCAGTGATCAATTAAAAAAAACTAAAACAATGCTACACTGTTTTCAACAATAAGCGGAAGGAAAAATTGCTTAGATATACATTTTACCCTGAGAGTTAAGGCACGTGATAGATCATACGAGGGTTGTCCCAAAAAGTCGTAGATAGGGAAAACAGTTTATTTTCTCTTTTCCGAATTAAATTTCTTTTCTTGTCGTAACAAAAAGTAACATTTTATGATCATGCATTCCAAATTTCATGATGTGACATGTATCATATTTAATAAGAAAATTATGAAAAAATAAACAAAGCATGTAAGTGTACATCGGCGCACGAAAGCAAGCGTAATTTACGTCTCTTACAACGTCATGATCGCTTTTTCTGCTTCACACAGGTCTGTAAACATTCAATAATTTCTTTAAAGTGTAAGACCACTGTTGATCGGGGGACTTATTACTGTCCGGGTTTGTTGTTGTTGTTTTTAAAGCAGATTCAAATTTTAGTCGAAAGATCACCATCCATTGTAGGTACATGTAGCAGAGAATACAAATTGTTTGACGTCGTTCGTGGCCCAGATTGTTCCCCATTGTCTGCGTGCCTTAACAAACAGTACTCTACTTCTTACATGCTGTAACTATTTTCGGTATAGAGAAAATACTCTTATTGAATCTCATGCCATTTTAAAACAACTTCCCTATAAAAATCTAGTGTGTAATGTCACTTCTGTACTCTTTTTTTCCGTTTCTGATGTAAACAAACCATATTCAAAACAATTTATTATAAATCCGTGACAACGTCATTTTCATAAAACTCAATTCCAACAACAATTTGAAAATTATGACACCAATCGTCTGTTTCCAATGCTATTTATATGAAATTTTGACATATTATTCAGATTTTGATTCTGGTTTCACTGATATAAATTTTAGTTCAATGCTTTAAGTAGTACTAAAGAAATAAAAGCAAGTGTAATAGTTATATGCATAAATTATTCCGAATTTTGTTCGTGCGCCGACAGACCTTATCGGCCATCATATAAATCGTCCTAATATTATTAATATAAAAGATATATATTCAAAAATCCTCGATTTTAAAGAACATTGAATATATTGTCTATGCAAAATTTGGTTAGTATTGTTTTGATGTTTAAAAAGTTAGAAACATTGTTTACGACCTTTTGGGACAACCCTGGTACATAGTTTATCAGGGTTCTCCACAAGGGGTTTTACCATGGCGGCCCGCCATGGTTAAATTTATGTGCGCCATGATTAAACGAGCTGCGCCATGGTCAAAATCGGCATGATTAAATTTTATTGCATTTCAGTCCTAACACCTACTTTTTTAATTACTTGAGTAGTTAATTGTGTTTAGAATACGACTGTCATGCACCCCGCATGCCTCGAAGGAAAGTGGATGTGCTAAATAAACACGTCGTTAATAAGTGACTATGGAGTGAAGCGTGACAATAAATGGAGGGTCAATCAGCTGATCAGATGATCAATATTTTGAGAGTTTATTATCTTTTACACGTGTAAATAATTTGGGAAACTTCAACATGTTCACTAAATTAGATATATACATGTAACAGGTTTATAAAAGAAATTACGATCATGATAATAGTCATTGCATGCGATTCAGGTTTCTGTGCCAGAAAAAAATACTTAGTAAAAATTTCATATTCCTCTGTATTCAATCAATTTCCCGTGCTCTGTTTTTAAAGCTTTAACTTTATTATCTATCTGATCAAATGTGCATAGGGCCTACTTCTCAATCGCCATCTTAGTCTTAGTTTTAGAGTTACTTCCCGTTGTGATAAAATGTCGCGTGGCGCTATTTTTAGCACTGGGTCACGTGGAGAAGTAAACAAAACTTGGTGAAAAATGCAGTATCTAGAAAAATAAAACGTTTAGAAAAAGGGACTCTAGTCCAAATGTTCCTTTGTGTGTTAACTTTAAAAATACTTATCAGTTTTCATCAGATCATAAGAAATTGGATAAATCCTTTTCAATTTAATTATTTTTTTTTATCCTTAAAACGTGTAGTTATTCCATTGTTTTATGTTGCAGTGGTTAAGTTTAAAAATTGTAAAACCAATCATAGATTAATGAAGATTAGAAATGTATTGCATGTATGTTAGACACATGTTTTCAGCCACAGTTCGCCTTCGCGCAGCTTCCTCCATGGTTAAATCTTCAAATGTGGAGAACCCTGGTTTAACATAACTTGACTAGTCTTTAGAGGTGCAGAGTAATTTGGCAAAAACGTGTATTACGCTTCCAAACGAATATTGGGTGTCACTAAATGTTTTTTTTTTTTTTTTTTTTAAAAGCAATTCCCTTATAATGATGTACACAATGGACATCCTTGTTCTATACAGCTCATTAAAGTTTTTGGTTCAAAAAGAACTAAAATTACAGTTAAAAACGATTATATTTTATTCATAAAACACCAATAAAGAAAGTAACTTATACCTCACAAATATACGGTAACTCCTCTGTACAAGTAACATTGATCCATCTGTAACTTGGGATCATATACTGTGCGATGCAGTTATGGTCATCGTTATTGTCTGGGTAGGAAACACTCCAGTACGTAAAACTTGGAACAGAATTGTTTATTTTCCAAAACCCACCAAACCGTTCTCCAGAAATAAAAGCGTATGTGTTACCCCAAGTTTCGGACCAGGTTTCTGCAATATTTTTCAAATCTAATTATATGAATATTAATTAAAAATACTGGAATACTACATATTAAGTAAATGGTAAATTAGACATCCTTAGGGAAGGCAACTTCTTAAACGAACAAGTTTGACCTAAAATTTTATTCAATGTCTTTCATTGAGAGAACAATATTAGAAGGACTTCAGGATAAAGCATAATTGTCATAAAGTGCATTTTAAATCAACAGCGTACTGTGGTTTCATTAATTTTCGCTGGCATCAATTTTCGTGGATTTTGTAAAACAGACATTTCGAGGATACGTAATTTCGTGGACAATGACATTGCCATTACAAATGAAAAACATATTTCTGAATTCAATTAACATTTTAATTCGTGGATCTGCTCAACAACGGAATCCTCCAAAATTGGTGCTCAACTAATATTAATGAAACCACAGTACATACTAAAGTTATCAATAAAATTGGAGCATCCTTTAAAATGTTGTCGGAGAGTTTTGACACCCCCCCCCCCCCCCCCGCCCCATTGTTTGCAACCCTCATAACCCATCTTAGCAATAATTTAAGCAAATCTCACTTTTTGAGATCACTTCCAATTTAAATAAATGTTCCTTTATATACCCAAATGTGTATCATCGAACGCCTATTTAGACCATATCTTTTCCCCAGTAGCCATAAACTCTGCGCCATCTGAAGAAGCTAACATTTTTCCTTTATAATTAAATATGTATGTTACATGTACTTTAATCTACTTATATGTTTCAAATTACCGCGAAGGGTCAATATTTGAAGAAAAAACAAAATTCTATTTTAAATCAGGAAGTTATTATTTATTAAATGAAACATATGGAGATAACGAACATTATTCAAGATCAAAAATCCATAAAGAAAATTATTACAAAAGAGGTGCACAGCAAACACTGACCTCAAAAACATGAGAGGTGGGACCTTTTAACCTTGTTGACAAGTTTGCTCCTGAGAAGATTTTTAAATTGTATACACTGAAATAAAACTTTAAATGATTTTTAATCATCTCTCTTTTAATGAGAAAGCTCCTAGTTCAGACACATGTGGATTCCCTTTACCCTTTGTTACTTTGTGGCAAGTTTGATTAATTCTTGCATTATGGTTCAAAGAAAGAATAAAAATGTGTAAGTTTACAAATATACAGACAGATGGTCATTGAGGAGAACGCTGGAGAGAAAACGTCGTCCGAAAATTTACCTCGAGCATTCAGTTAATGTAGACTGAAAAAGATGTTAAAATCGCAATGTTTTCTCTTAAACTTTTTGCATAGAATATACATGAAACCGACCTCTGAACAGTTTTTCTAAGTATATCTGGCGCTCCAATGACGTTATCTGGTAAAGCGTCCCGTTTCTTTTTTGGCATTCCATTTCTGCGTCGTCACGAGATTTTAGTGTGAATGTTCTATAAAGCACTTTATCCAAGTTTGGTATGTAAACATGACCTTGGCGTTTTGATTCTCCTGGAAAACATAATATATAGTAATATATGCCCTCTTTAATTAAAACTTTAAGGAACTTCTTAAAATATTTATCATTTATTAAGCAGATTTGTAGCTAGGGCAATAAAAAAGAAGTAAGTTCTAATATCTTATTGACTTACTAATTAGAACTTCTCTCGTGTCTAGGTTAACAAAAAAAAAAACACCTGTGCTTATTATTTTTCTTTTTTTACACTTGTTTGATATTTCTGTTGAAAAGAATATAAATCAAACCTGACTTAATATTCAAATAGTGAGAAGACACTTTTGTAGAAATCAGGTTTGTTGTAATACATCTGTACTCAGAATAATCCAAAATGGTGACGTTTTGAGTAAAGAACCGTGCCACGAATACCGATGTGTTATCAAATGTTTCATTTGCAGACATTTCCTGAAGTATTTCTGGTATCAAGTCACTCTCTCTTTTCCTCTCCAATCTGTAATACAATATATTAGGAGAAGGACGATCTAGCAATTTGCAAACGATTTCCAGGGGTTCCCCAAGGAGGCTTCCTGCGTGATTTATCTTCAATTTTGTTTTTGGGCTGTCTGTAATCAAAAATTTGTACATTACAAAAGATGCAATTTTTTTCCAATAATAATAATAATAATAATAAAATACGCACAAAATCTATTTTAGTTAGTTTACATAAGAAAAATCTTTCTGAAGTGAAATCTTGCTCCAGCAACATAAATAAACATTACTTCCCATACTTTTTTTATTTATTGCCTTTTTTATCCTACTTGACATTTGTTCCTTCCTCTGGAATTCCAGGTGCTCATGTTTATGAGCTCTTCATAGATTTGCATTGTTTAAATATTGCTTGAAATCGATAATTTCGTTCTTCATCTTTTTTTTATTTTTTCATATTTTTTTAGTATATTTTGTGTGTACTATCTGTTTGATTACTCAGCTTCAGTCAATCAGTTAGTTTTGATTCCCTATAAGAAAACCGACATGTTCAACTATTTGCGCATACATAACACTCTGCATTACTTTGTTCCCCATGTACTGAAAATATATGTTTAGTGCTTTATTACTATTAGAAAAATTTGGTGCATTTATACCTTGCAATGTAACATTTGCATGGTGAATAAACCTAATAATTATATGAGTAAGTATTTCATCTAGAAAAATTGCAAGCAACATGTTTTTGCTTAACTTGTCAGAAAAGAGATAGGTATTTAAATGAGTCAAATAAAAAAAAATAGTGGGGATAAAATCTGGGGAGGGGGGCTACCTCAAACATAGCTTATTACATTTAGTTAATTTATTTTAAAAAAGACAACCAATGATATATTACGTATTGTATGTAAACATATTTAATATTGAATGTCGAAAGTTTTGTAAAATTGGAGAAACAGGTTTTTTTTGTTTTTTTTTAAATTACGAATTTACATGATTTTTTTCTTAATCCTTTTCCTTTCTTTTTTTATTTTGTTTTAAAAATTTTACATTTCACAGAGACAATTTACTGAATCTTGCGGTGAAGAACCTTTTAGACCGAAATTGAGGGAGGAAAAAACACATACGTCCTGAAATTATTAGGTAGTAGGTTTCACGAGCTGTATCCTCGAACCCATAATGTGTAATGTACACGTCTATTCTATACGATGCATCGTCCTCAAACGTGGCATTATAAATGGTTAGTGAAGGAAGTGGTAGATTCCCTATTTCATATTTCCTGCTACTGTTGTCAAGCTCCTGTCCGTCTTTACTCCACTGAAATCCTGTCACGTTGAAAGACGGATGCCATGTGACATTTGTAACCAATATCACTGTGTCTCCATAGATTACCTCATTGCTGCTAATTTCAATGTTTGCTGTGAATAATGAAAATGTCATATTTTGTAAACAACATCATTTTTGTTGAAAGCATTATTGTTAGAAAAAATACGGCTGGTGGATTAATTAACAAAATTGTATATGTAGAACACTTTTTGATTGTTACTGAAAGCACTTACTTTTGCCTTCAACTCGACATTTAGATATATCGACGACATATTGTTAATTAAAAATGATAATTTCCATTTCTACGTCGATACGATACATTTACATGTATATCCAAGTGAGCACTGTGTCTGACACTTCTGTTTCATATTTGGATATTTTACTTAGAGGGACGTCAATTTTAGTCTAACAACCAAACTGTGTGATAGCCATGACGTCTTTAAACTTTTTTATCGTCAAATTCCCTTACCTAGCAGCAATACACCTTCATCACCTGCATACAGATTCTATGATTATACAGTTTATTATATGTATTTCAGATGATTCGATACGCAAGAGCATGCTCTACGTATGAACAATTTCTAAACCGTGGTAAAGTATGGACTAACAAGTTGATGATACAGAACCTTCAGAAGTCTCGTTAAAAGTCATCATTTTGTAAGTTCTATGGTCGATATAATGACCTTGTCAGCAAATACAGTTTGTCATTGTGTCGGGTGATGACTGACGGTTTTTATAAATGTTCATGCATTGAATGGACGATGGATTTTTCCGTTATTTCCTGATCATGGCAAGGAGCACACGGCGGGTCCGACCCGTCGGCAGAGGATGCTCACTCCTCCATTTCTCATGATGCGATCTTTTGGAGATCTGTTAGCTCTGCTCCTATTTTGTATTGTTTAAATGACTTTTGATCATGAAAACTGTTTATTATCTCCAGATGTTATATAACTGAGTATTCGAAATCAAAAATATTCGAAGTTTTTATTTTAAACCAAAAAAAAAAAATGAATTGTCTTACCACAATTTGGAACGAGACAGTCAACCAAATCGTCTTTATGATTAACGCATGAAACTGCAGAAACAAACGTTTTAATTTTCCTGCAAAAATTTTGGTGTTCTTTAAGATAGTTGAGTTGTGTATCTCCCCAATTCTTGCAAGCACCATTTTTGCTTTCGTTGATTTTACCATGATAGTACCAGCCTTTCAGATCTCTAGGAGGCAGGCACTCTAAAACTGAAAATAAAGGGTTTGCATTTCTTGCATCGTAAAAAAGATTAAGCTTTTACATTATAAAACACTTGAATGTCACGAGACATATAATAAAATTCATTTCCCGACATATTGTAAATTCACGTATATTCGTTGGGTCAAATTTTCGAGGTAAAAAAAAACCATGGGTTTGTGGGGATTTAATTTCGTAGATGAAAAACTGCTGAGTAGTAATATCTGTAAAAATTACATTTCATTGTAGACAAAAAATGTAAGTTTCTATAAACATCTGAAACAGAGAAAATTAAACCCATGAAAAATTTATGACTTTAAAGTATAAAATTAATTTTTGATTTAGGTACTTGTCATTAAATAATCAGAAATGTTGATGATGTCTAATTCGATAGGTGATATTTTCATATGTATACTCTAAAGCATATAGTCGTCATAATGTAAAGCAAACAATTTTTTTTTAAATCTTTACAAACCAATTATTTCTATTTTTCAATTAATGTGACAACGTAAAAATAAATAATAAAGACAATTACATGTATATCGTCCATGAATAACGATTAAAAGATAGTATAAGACTGTGTCAAAACAGCAGGACCTTTTTTGCTATGCTTGTTGATTTTTTCATGTAAATGATATGATTTTTCGACTTAGAGAACTTAGGAGTGAAAAAAAAAACATGGAGCCCGAGTAGAAAAGATAATTAAAAATTCAAATTAAACATGATAAACACTTTAGTTTTGCATAAAATCGATGAAAACAACAAAAAATCATTTTATTATATCACTAGAATATTAAGAGAGGGTTTTAGACCTAGAAAGTCTATCAAAAGCGATCAGAAGTAATAAGGTTCACTTAGGACGTTTTATGGCCATGTGAATTTCTTAGAATCAAATGTGTGATGTATTACGACACATGAATTAGGTCAATATCCGTAAGTCTTGGATATTCATTATAAAATGGCCACAAAATTTAAAATTTAAGATTGATTGATTGATTCTATGTTGTTTAACGTACCTCTCGAGAAATTTCAATCATAAGAAGACGCCTCCACTTGCCAGTGGAGAGCTACAAATTTTGTCTAATACTCGGCACTCAGGGCCATTGAGCAGTGAGTGATATTTTTCGTACCACTACCTACAGCGACACGGGACCTCGGTTGATACGGTCTCATCTGAAGGACCGATGAGGTGTGGCAATATTTTCCATAGCTCCTTGTCGCTTATCTAAAACGTTAAATTATTTTCTGAAAGGACTGTTTCAAAGGATTATAATCTATATTATATTATTTATTTTTGGATTGCTGGTTGGGCTCATATTTCAGTCCTTTGCTGAAGCTGCCAAACTACAACAATTTCTGCCACATTTCATAACGTTTCAATTTATTAAGCCTGATATTTTAATATCTAGACTCGAGAGGAAGCTTATTCTATAGGTTATACAAGCACACAAATTTCAACTTAATATTGATGTTTGAAATGGGATATTAGGTTTCTGTTTTGCTTCATAACTTTTTAATACTTCCAAGTTAAAATCATCTCAAAATCCCAGCATCGGTAAACTTTGACTTCTTTGGTACTTATCCATATTACTCTGATAATCTGAACTGAAAGTTTAAAGGATATTTTCTGGACCCAGTTTGTCAACCCATCCGTCTGTCTGTCTATTTATCTGTTGTTTGTTATTATTTTTAAATTCTCCGACGGACGATTGGACCAACTCTAACAAAACATGCCATGAAGCATTCTTGGGTGAAGGGGATTGAAGTTCATTCAAATTATGTTAAAGTTGGCTGTATTCTTTACCCGCTATTATTATTTGCCTGTTATTTAATTGACTTTATCCTATTTATCTCATTCCGTTTGAAGAAGAATTAAGTCATCCCAATTGAAACTAAATGACTCTGTCAAAGGAATCAGTCAGTCGTTTCATCTTATCAGTCCTTTTTTCCTCATGATTATTAATTCTGTATCAAAAGCTTTATTATGAAATCTTCCAAGCGTGCGCCCCTAAGAGCTAATGATATGGCCATTTGTGCGGTATGCGTAAACTTTTTTTGAATTTGGGAAGTGTCTTAATAAGCCCTTGGCTATGAATTTGGCTTTGAATTGTTGATTTGAAGTCACAGAGTATCCTTGGCCCAGTGTCATGTCATTTTTTTCCAAAGCTACGGATACATGTAGAACCTTTAAAGAAATAGAGATGATAAGGAAAATAAAAGGTTTTGGCTGCTTAAAAATCTTCCTTAAGATCCACTTGGCAGATTACCACCAAACGTACAAAAAAGCGTGTAGATACATGTATATTGTAGATTAAAAATTTTGCAAGGCATCTGCCTGGGGTAAATATCACTTTAATGTTAAGTTGACAAAAATTTTGTGTTGTGAATTTTTTTTATGATTTTAAGTAGTGTTTTCAAATCGGACGATTTCTAGTACCCATATTCCGATCGAGTACCCGGTTACTCGTGTGAGTTATCGTTATTAATTAAGGTCTTCCGTTTCCAACGGAAGACCTTCTACTGATTCTGTTGGTAAAGATTATTATTCTTTTTTTTTTCTTCTACTTCCTAGACGCCAACTTTGAAGCCTCATATCTCACTCATTTCTCAATTGATTTCGCTCAAATTTTCAGAGGTACTAGAAGTTACTAAACTCTATCAGAATGCTGTCAAAAATTTCAAAAAGTCACTTCCGGTTTTGAGTTATTTCCCTTTAAACGAAAATTTATAGGCTTTCGTTTCCAGACAAAGGCTCAGAGACGGCTAAAGATGGAGCAGAAATTCTACTGATTTTAGATAATAGAAGGATTGAAGTTGTGCACATCGGTTTTTGTTTTTCGATTTCTCTATTCAAAATGGCGTTATATAGGGGTCAAAAATTAGAACGCTTAAAAGAGCTAAAAATTACTCATATTTTGCTTTTTATCCTCTAAACTAAAAATATTTTATTAAGATATATAGAACAAAATTTGTGCAGAATTAGAAGATCTTTCAAATGATATCTCGGAAAAAGGGCTCACCCCTAAATTAAGGGATCTAGAGGGGCCAAAAAAATTTTCCAGATATCTCAAAATGTATTGAGAATTTGTAATACGTCCAAGAAGCAAAGTTGTTCAAAATGTCAATCTTAATCTATTGAAGTCGTCAAAATGCGTCCGGCGACGTCACTTCCGGTCAAACCGGAAGTAGTCGGAAAATGCATATTTTTGCCGTTTTTGACAAGTTTTTGGGTAACATATGTCTCTGGGAGCTTGAAAATTAATTTTCCGTGCGTCGTCGTCACTTCCGGTCAAACCGGAAGTAGCAAAAAAATGGCTTATTTTTAAAGGTTTTGTTGCAAAATTGAAATTATAAAGTGACTGGAGACGACTTAGCTCATTGTTTTGTTTTGTTGACATCACTTCCGGTCAAAACAGGACGGAAGACCTACTCGTTGCTTTGCAACGAGCTTTGCTCTAGTTTCCATTAATTATTTATCTCTAACTTAAAAGCACACACGCAAGCACTATCTTCAAAGAATTTTGATTTTATAATAAAGAAAATAATGAAATGAACACACGAAGAAGACACATATTAAATGTTCCACAGCATTTTACAGTGTTTATTTTTTACTTTTCAGCCCTTTTTGTTGTGGTCAAGGAGAAAAATTAGTTACATTTTAATAGATAAGTAGTCACACCCGTACAAGTTAACTCAGATTCTGATCAATTACATTTTGCCGATTTCTAATCAGCTGTTCTCTTTAAATACTTCATATGTTTATATGTCTTTGGTGACATCTTGTTAAATTCTTAAATAAGTGAATTTCAAAATTTATATACCACCCTGGTAATCAAGGCTAACAATTAACACAAAAAAATAATCAAAACAAATCGATCCTATTTGTGA